AGCAGGCTACCCAATAATAATGCCATCTATTTTGCTTTTACAGACAGGGTCTCAAAGTAGTCTAGGCCAACCTGAACTTGCTATGTAGCTTAGGCCTTGAATTTGAGCTGTCTTGCTGTGATTAAAGGCATGTGCCACTATACTCAGCCTCAGAAGAAACTTCTAGGCCTGTTTTCTTTTGAAGCAAAACATATATTGGGGGCCGGGGATCTAGCTCAGTGGTTCCGCTGCCTGCCTTGCAAGTGCAAGGACCCGAGTTCAATCCCCGGTACCCCCCGCAAAAAACATATATTGGTACGTTTTAGATATCCATAATGATAACATCCATTGTAGGGAATTTGTGCCCATACCTGATGTATCTTGTTTCTTTTTTCCCCATTCCCCCTTCCCTTCAACCCCTGTTCTTCCTTGTTTACAAAAGCTTTGTTTTCATTTTTCCCTTCTTATTTTTTCTTGTTCTCTCCTTTCTCCCTCCCCTCTCCGTTCCCCTTCTCATTTGAACATTTACTTCCCATTTCCCAATAGCCATTATACATTTTGATCCTTATTTCCACTTTAGGTTTTACACACGGGGGAAACAATGTGGTATTTAAACATGCGTGTCCAATGTATTTCACTTAAAGCGTTTGCTCTCAAGGTGCATCTATTTGGCTAGAAATTTCTCAAGGTTATCTTTCTTTATGGTAGAATACTACTCCACTGTATAAAAAGAAAACCACATCTTCTTTACCTATTTGTTAGTTGATGGGCATTTTGGGTTGTTTCCAACATTTAGCTATTACAAATGGTGCTTCTACAAAGATGGGTTTGCATATATCCCTGTGGTATGATTTTTTAGAATTCTCTCAGGACAATAGCAAGAAAGGGGAATAGCTGGGTCAAATGGGACCTCTAATCTTAGTCCTTTGAGGAATCTCCACATGGACTTCCACAGTGGATGCATCAGTCTACACTCCTAGCAACAGTTAAGGGTTCCTTTTTCCCAACAATCCACCAGCATTTGCTGGCCTGTTGTCTTGGAGCCATCTCAAGAAGTTTTTTTTAAAAAGGCATAAATTATATAAATCCAATGTTTCAAGAAATTTTATAGCTTACTAATAAAGATTGTATTTTTCTATGACATATAATGAAATCTTTCAACAAAAGACACCTTTGTGTTTGTTTATAAGCAAAGTAGGCGTGTGCATCCTATTTAGGAGTGCTTTTAGGTAGAGCCCTTTCTTAAAGGAAAGGAATGCACACAATGAAATAATATATCTATTAAAGCAGCGAGGCAACCCAAAAGGGCAGGGATAATGTTGAAGAGCCGGGCTGGAGATACAGTGTAGCTCAGTGTGTGCTGGTTTAGCATGCAGTAGGGCCTGGGTTCCACCTCCAGTCCTGAAATACATACACACATGCATACATACATAAAATGATACAGTCATTCAGGAAAATAATCTAGCATTTTCTTAGAAAACTAAACATGCATTTATCATATGATCTATCACTCATACTTGCAGGCATTTATCCCAGAGAAATTTAGACTTAAATTCACGCAAAAACCCCACAGTGCCTGGGAATGTAGTTTAGTGGTACAGCACTTGCGTGTCATGCACGAGGCCCTGGTTTTGATTCCTAGCACTGCTCCCCCGCAAAAAAAAAAAAAAAAAAAAAAAAAAAAAAAATCCCTGAATACAAATGTTCTTAGCAATCTTATTTTAAATAGAAAGAAAACTAGAAACAACCTAAATGTACCTCACTGGGGATGGATGAACATCCATAAATGGAGTACTCTACAAATATTTGATTCATGCAACAACTTAGATGAAACTCAAGGTATTATTTAGGCAAAAGCTTCATCCACAGAAAGTCATGTGTTATAAAAATGATTCCATTTATCTAAATGTTTCGGAATGAGAACCCAATAATAAACAGATTAGTGGTTGGAGGACAGAGTGAGTGGGAGGGAATTTGTGAATCTAGAAAGGTAGTATTAGTAATCTTTTGTGGTGACAGAATAGTTCTGTACCTTTGTTGTAGAAATTGTTACACAGACACATGCACTGGATAAAATTGGACTGAGTTACATAAACATGTACATGTAACTATGTAGGTTAAAAAATATGGTGAATACCAAGGAAGTTCTGCAATATAGTTAACAGTGATTTATCAGTGTTAACTTCCTGGTTTTGTTTTTGTTGGTTTTGTTTATTTTTTGAGACAGGGTCTCACTATGTAGCTGAGACTGACCTAGAACTCACTGTGTAGCCCAGGATGGTCCCATACTCACAGCAATCATCTTACCTCAGCCTCCCGAGTGCTGACACCATGCCTGCCCTCCTGGTTTTGATATAAAGCTTTATTAGGTGTCACCTATGTTGTTGCATGAATCAAATATTCATTCTTTTTATTACTACACAGTACTCCACTTATGGTTCATCCATTCCCAGTGAGGTACGTTTAGGTTGTCTCTAGTTTTCTTGCTTTTAAAAATAAGATTGCTATTAGAGTTTTATTCAGGTTATTATTGTGTTGGTAGGGGGCTTAGCTCTAGGGATCAAATCTAGGGCCTTGCACTAGCGGAAGGGTAAATGAGACTCATACTATATTTACAACTTCTTATGAGTCCACAATTATAAAAATAAGTTAGCTGAATGTCTAGGGCTGGTGTTTGGGGAGATGAGCAAGACAACAGCGGCTAACAAAGGGGCTGAGAATTATTTCCAGAAGTTTAACCTAAAAGGTGAAAACTTACTCCTCACCATCATTGGTCAGAATAATAGCGCTCTTTATTCTGTCCATTTTAGGCTGCTGCTTCTCAATTATACTAAGCAGAGAATTAGGTTTATCTCTAGAGGCAAAACCAACAGCCTTACCCCACTGGGTGTCATCTCTAGCATTCAGCCCTTTACAGTCATCACTTTCCCCATTGCCTAATACTGAGTATGCTTCTTTGCTGCCAGAGGTGTTTTTAATTTTAACATCTGAATTTGATGTCATTGCAGATGCTAAAAGTTGCCAGTAGGCTGTCCTCCAGATAACTGTCCCTTGCTCTAGCTTATATCACTGTTTTGTTGCAATTAGCATTCAGAGGATGCACTGTCATCTTATTAAAATTTATATTTTTCAGCGGAGAAAGCACATGGATAGTTGATTGTGGAACTGTGGTTTATTCTTGCTCTTCTTAGTTACCTGTGTCTAAATTAAGCTGAACCTTTGGGCCTCAGCTATTTCTAAACAGGCATCACGATTTACTAAGGTTAATGCCTGAGGGAACATTAACCTTGCAGACAGTAATCTAATTCAGTGTCATCACAAGTGCATAATGCGGGAGTTTGGAGTTTTGCCAAAAAGCACAATTCAAATGAACAGTCAGTTGGCAAGGGATGGGAAGGTGGGTGTGGACAAGGGAAGGAGAATTCCAGAAATGGTTATATAGATTATTTTAATGCCTTTTCCTCCCCCCAAAGGTTATGTTTAAGTATTGCAGAGAGATGCTAAAAACAAGAAACAAAAACAAACGAAAAAACCCTTCAGATCATTATGAAGAAAGCATAATGAGGGTGTTTCATCCCACAGAAAGTTCCTGATACTCATAATCACTCAACATTCACTAAGCATCTTTTGTTATCAAGCTGACCTTGTGCTAGGATGGGGACAGACAGGAGTAATTAATTGCAGGATGTCCAAGCACCTCAGGACGCCTAATAAATGTTAGCTGAATAAAGGCACCCTTAAGGAGGTCACGATTGGGCGAAGGTCATTTAAAGTGCTAAGGATGAGACAACTGTACAATCTCAGCTGCGTAGACCGTTACCACGTCTAAGCTGCCCTACAGCTGAAGTTTGGGTTCCAGGTGAACTCAGTACGCAATACTACGCTAAGAGCCTGCTCAAGAGTGTCCAGGACTGGCTTTCCTGATGTTCCTCTGAGGTCACACTGCGTCTCACTAACAAGGTTTGCGAGTTTCAAGGGCGCAGGGTTTCATCTTCCGGAAAAGGTGTCATCAGAGGTGGAGGGGGAGAGAGCTAGGTAAGAGGAGGATAAACGAAAAAGCCAAGAATTTCTGGCAGACAGCCTTTCACTTAGGTCCCCGCCCCTTCCACTTTCCCAGCCCGAAAGGCTCCCGACTCCCGACACCCCCACTTCTCCGGCGTCTGACAGGGCCTGAGGCTGCAGGTGGGAGCAACCCCCTCGTCAGAGAGGCCTCCTCATCCGCGATCTTCTTCCAAGCGCTTCCGTCCTGGGCCCAACGGGGGGATCCGCAGCTCGGGGAAAGTTCCCTTGGCTAAGCCG